AAGGAAGGAAGAAGGATGTGGAAAAGAGAGCGAGAGGCACCAAATAAGACTAGGAGCCACAAGTTTTTGGTGTTGGGGACGGGAGTTAAGTTAATCATCCGCAGTGAGAGTGGGTGAGTTACTCGTAGTTTACAGTTGACGGTTCCAATGCCATCGGGACTCAAAAGGGGGGCCAGGTGGGGCTGTGAGGTGTGGAGTCATGCGCTGGGATCGTGCCCAATGGGAACATCTGGCTTACAGCTTTCATTCGCTCAGCAGACACTGGGCAGGCAATTCTATTGAACCATGGACCGTAAAGTTGAGGTATGTATCGTTACCTGCCCCGTGTAATTCTGGTGTGGGAGAAGAGAATGAGCATAACTTGAGCATGGAAGTCAGGTTCCTCGGCAGCTGGCTCGCAGCTGACCCTGCCGAGGATGTTCAATCTGTGCTTGTCCAGATATATTATCTTTCCCATCGCGCAAGTCATAGTTAATTATTACTATCGTTGGTTCAGCCATAAGTTTCATAGCAACGACGACCCCTCCCAAGTTGGCGACGTACATAACCTCCTGGCAATCTGACAGCCTACTTTATCACTGAATCAAACGCTATCCCTGCAATTGCAGGCGCTTTTCCGCTAACGGAGGGCGGCCCTAAGGATAATCCGCCACTAATGTAAGGCGAGTGCAGGGCGATTCTAGTGATGCACAAGGACGACCCTCCTCACCCGGAACGTCTTGGTCGAACCTGGTGGTCCGATTGGTACCTAATGAACGAATGACTGCTGAGTTGTAGACGCAAGAGCTGCAGACCCGATACGATTTGCTCTGTGTTCGCGAGATCAATATCCATGTAGTGTAGTGGATTATTGAATCCTATCGTCATGCATCCGGCCAAGGTCATATCTTCATGCTACGGGCCTATCCATATCGGGAATATGTAGACTGTCCAGCCTGGACCGACACTAGTTGATCTCGAGAGCGGTTCGGTTCTTGGAGATCATCAGCACTCCGAGCCAGAGAAGCTTTCCGAATTCCACCGGAGCTAGTCCGATATACTGGATTAGACTGGAGAATGGAGAAGAAGCTCTGTCTGAGTTGCCGCTTGCTCCAAGGGTCCCTTCAATACAGATAGATACGCTGTCTCCGTAAGCGTGTGAACTAGGTCGCCGGCTCCCCCGCAATTTCCTGACCGGCAGTCAGCCTGATGGTGATCCTGGTCCAACCGTGTTACAGTCACGAAGTCTATGGAGGAAAGCGGCATGACAATGGTAATCATTGCTACGAAACCCTGAAACTAAGTTCGATGCAGACCAAGATCACTCTCCGACCAGATAGAATTGCCCACTTGAAGAAGGGGGAATCCCGACTGTTGACCGATGACCGAATTATTCCCGTTGGCTCATTGGCTGGGTTCCTCTCCTCCTGCATCGGAGTCCTTTGGTACCCTCAAATACTGACCGAAGTCTGAACTTCCAAGACATCATACATCAATTGCCACACCGATGTCTCCCATGTTTGAGGTTGGAGCATCGCGGGGAAATTGAACTCTATTCAGGTGCAAAGCCTCGCTGATGTAGATGGACCATTCCATGTTCCTGGCTCTTCTTGTTGAGCGAGTGGGGGACATAGCTGGTGTCTCAAGCATAAAGAGGCTGACTAGGCGGTTTATGTAACTCAGGCGATCCACTGATAGACATCCTCGCAAGCATGCCCGAGTGTTCGCCGAGAAAATCACACAAGTGGAGGCGAGAGTTTGGTCTCGCAAAATCTGGTAGCAAGTTAGAAAGAACTGGAACGTATTGAGCCACGCGTTGACTGCTCCAAGCTCAAAAAACCAGTCTGCAATGATTAGGGTACCAGCCCTGCCTTGCGCATTCGATTCTGAACGTTTCAAAAAAAAGAGAGCTGTTGTTTCCATCAACGGTAAAAGCAACTAGTCACTGTACTAAAACGTATGCTGTAGAGCGAGCTGCAAGGCTCAGCCCAGCCCCTCATCTCTAAATGGTTGGGCTGTTAACTATTGGACATTGTATGAACAAGGTTTACAAGGGTTTCACGCACACATCTATGTCACTCTGCCCAATCCCTCGTTTGTCCGGTCAGATCTTGCATCCTTTGGTTATACGAGAATGTCAAAAGACCGGCTCGACTTTGCCAAAGGTTCCTTAGAAGTCAAGTCGAGAACGCTCACTTGGTTAACAGAACGTCATAGCGTAGTCTCAAAAAGCAATGGATCCAACTCCCAGGATGCGTGGTTCGAATGGATATCCTTGTTGCACATTGCCTGAACCATCGGAACATCCAGGCGCAGTGATCTTGGCAGGATTTCCCCGGCTGGGGTAAACCAGTCAATCACCGGTATTTCAGGACTGAAGGATCTTCCTCCCCGCGGTGGGTAAAGACGCAAACTCAGATCCCGCACCCACGTTTCGGGTCTCGCCTTCGGTCATGCCATCTCTCGGGAACCCACGGCTGCGGGCTTCAAGAACATGGGGTAAATCTCGATGCAAGGCTCGTATTCCTTTGTTGTGATATACATCTCTCACTTTAAATATGTAGTTCCTAGTGCGTATGATTCGCTCCACTTCCCGCGAGTGATTGCATCATTTATCGTTAACGGAAGGAGTTTCTGTGAGGGCGTTCGCGGGAGATTTCCTTCCAAAGACAAAGACGCCTGGTGCTTCCGTTCTAAGCCATTACAGCCAGTCGAGCCTCCAATGTCTCACAATCAATTGACTCATCATAGAGCTCAGTCTCAATGGACAAAAGCTTAAGGTTCAGGAGGCAAAATGAGTCAGCCTCGGTTTTTTCCAATTCACGGCTCAGATCCCTATGCCATATTGAATGACCGCCGATATCGCAGGGGTAAGGTCAAAGGTAAGATTCAATGCCATACGTGGAACTGATGACTATTGCACGAAGTCAGTTCTTCTGTACACGATAAATATACGTATTATAACTTGCAAGGGTTTTCGTTTGTCTCGCGATAAAACGAGCGCTCGCGCATTGTGGTCGTCCAAAGTCGGCTGAGATATATAAAGCCGGGACATGCAGCTGAAAAGTCCATAATTACCCTGCCACCGTTAGAGTTGTCGAATGCTGTGGCTATGGCTTGAGTTAGACACAAAGACACTGCGTAATATGAAAACATGTACTTCTAAATGCGTACTCGATTGCATAAAGTTCACATGACTTCGCCTAGATGGACGTCCTCTTACGCCGAATCAGGCTGTGATTGTCACCTGGTTATTTACTGTACCTCGCAGCAATCAACTTGTCACCCACATGACTTTGTGAGTTTTACTCCATCTGATCATAACAGGAGCTCTAAGTCCTCGATAGTACTAGCACTTCTAGCACTCCTAGCACTCCGTGTATTGTGTTCACTCCTGAGTCGACACAACCTGTTGCCATATCTAGCCACATTCACTTATCTTAAGTATCTACTAGTGATGTCCAAAGAGTCAACTTCGTGAGCGAGGTTTGAGTTCGTTCCAACCAAAAAAGGCCTGGCGCATCGAAAGCCGCCAATTTGAATGGGTGACTAACCACATGCGCAATCTGCTACGCCGAGCCTATAAAGCGGACTGACTATCCACCGGCTGGCTATCGGGGATGCACCTTTATCGCGACCACCGAGCGATAAAGCCAGCCGGTCAAGCCAACCGAAAGAAGGAAGCTATGACGATATCAATCTTGCTGCACCATAACCGCCTTTCTCCGCCGCCTTTCATGACAATCTTATCTTCCAATGCGAAAGCAGCACCGAGTTAGAATTCACATGGATCGTCTTACAATCCCGAAGCCGACAATACTTCGTACTAGACTCACATGACTGAGAAATTCGCATCGAGCTGAAAGTCACTTCTCTTGACCTATATGGCGGTCACAATCACACCGAATATGCGGAGAAGACACCGCTTTCCTGCATCGAGGCCAGCCATTCAAGTTGCGGGGTCAACAATAACCACAGCTTGAGAAGCCCAACCCAAGCGTTGGAAAATGCTTGATTCGAAGATGACTTTCAAGTCACCGATGGCTTGAATTATGGCGATAAGGAGTCGTAACAAATGTGCCGAATCAAACAATTTACAAGTTGACTTCTCTCGAAGCGTGTCAAGAGGGCACATGTTGGTGCTATATTGGTTAAAGGGCCACTGCCCTGATGGCCATCATTCATTCATCATTGAGGAATGATGTGAAAGGCATGATGCTTTGCCTAGATTGTCGAGGCTGGTTCGGAGAATTGTGCTCCGCGATACTTGCCCATAATGTCATGCTTAGTTGATGGAACTCATCATCGCGAAGGCTGAGCCCCTGGCCGCAGACAGGTACGTCACGAATAGACGTTGAAGTGCAAGAGGGTATACCAAGTGTGGATACTGCCATAGCAAGTGGATATTGAAGGGTCAGGGGTCAATGGCGATGTGGTGAGATCTCCAGGGTGGGCTGGGGTGAGTTGTCTGAAAATGGCATCATTGATATGATGATCCTGCCCATCCAGGGACTTGGCATCTTCGATGACCTCAATTCAACCGATGGCAGGTCGGTCTCAACTTTAAGCAGAGAAGAAAGAAGAAAAGCACGGAATTTGTTCCCCAGGAACCACAGATTCCTACTCCGATGATGGTTGCCAACTGCTGCTACCAGGCTAAGAATCGTAGGTGGACAGATCAAATCCAGGCAGGGAGTATTTGATCACTGACTCAAAGAAACTGACAATCATTCGCTCACGGTGGCTCCATAATGCAAAAGTGGACACTTGCTCAGGTTGCAGTCGAGTCGAAAAAATTGACCGTTGTGTTCCCAGACTGGGTGGTGTGCAAGGCGAACCAAGGAGAGCTCGGCCCTTATGACGTCGACATCGTTAACGTCACCGGCCATCAACACACCACCACCCACCAAACCCTGCTCAAAGACACCATATTAAAAGCTGCTTGTTGCCTCTCAGAAACTTAGCTTCTTCATCTCAGAACACAATCAACTCACATCCGATTCAACCTCCAAATTTTATCACATCCAAACAACCTCATCTCCACAATCACTATGGCCGACACCACCACCTTCCACACCACCCAGCAGGACATCCGCAAGCCTGAGTCCCACGCCTCCCACGCCCATGCTGGCCAGACCCCTGCCAACTCCAATGTTTCCGCTATGAAGGTAAGGAGGGACCGCCACTGATTGCTTCTATACCTCCGGCCCCAGTTTCTAACCTCATCGACACAGTCCATCGTCGACCAAGCCAACGCCAACAAGGGCGAACAGATCGAGCAGACCAAGGCCAACCTGCCCCTGCCTGACCAGCCCCCCGTCGCCAGCGACTGGAACTCCGCCGATCAGAGAACCGTCAACGTCGGCTCGGGCGGTCGGGAGGGTCCCGTCTCCGGCGAGAACAACAGCGCTCTGCGGGAGCCCGCCACCGCCAGCAGCAGCGTCCGCGTCGATGGATCTGAGCTGCACCAGAACACACAGCCCGGCAGCGACGTCGGCCGCCAGGGTAAGGACAACCTTGAGGGTCTGCCCAAGGATGCCCTTGCCCGGTAAATACCTCGATGCTACTGCTACATCGAAAAGCCTTTTTTTTCCTATCAAAGCATGTACTTTAACGAATGAGCACTTTAATGAACGATCACGGTCTCCGAGAGCAATACTTCCTTAGATCTATCCTAAACTTGTAGTAAAGAATCTTCTAGCTTGGGACAGCCGATAGATCTACGCTTGCAGAATGTTCCTGATCCGATGTGACGGCAGTCTACCCGTATCTCATCATATCTATTGTAAAAATTGTTAAAAAGTAGTACCATTACTGGTATGTGGGAAACCGTCCAAAATTGGTCCCACGCTGGTAAAGTGAGAAAACACGTACAGTACATATCGCTGCCTGTAGTTACTCCGTAGTTGTGTTATCTGCAATTGTTACCTCAACAAAATGGCCCAATACCCTTTCCCCCTTCATCCTTTCTCGATTCAGCTGGATTTAACACCATTTTTAATGGTGGTACCCATAAGGTCAAAGTCTCTCTTGTCTCCTTCCAAAACACCACCCCATCCTCTCCGGGCGCAAACGCCAGATCGTCGAACCTTAGAGCCACACACCCGATCAGCATTCGCAATTGCATTATCGCGAGAGCTTTTCCTGCGCAGGTGAATTGGCCCCGCTGGAAAGGAAGATATGCGGCTGTCTGTGGAGTGAGGGATTCCCTGCGCTCAGGATGAAACTCGGTAGCAGATTCGAAATATCGCTCATCCTGTCGAACCGCCCAAATTGGAACATGAACAATGACATTCCCAGGAATGTAAATCTCCTCAATCTGTAAACCCTCTGGCGGAGTCTCACGCGGAAATCCCATGGACACCGGAGGACGCAACCGTAACGTTTCGTGGATCAGCTGGTCAATATAGGAGACTCGCTTGAGCTCTTCATAAGTCCAGCTCTCAGGCCCATCGGGGCAGCTCTCACGCACTAGTCGTTGCAGCTTCAGGTAGATCCTCGGGTATTTGACCATAAAGTATACGCTATACAGAGGTTAGTATTGATTCAAGTGTATCGACCAGGCGTGAAACAGAAAGGGAGCACTGACAAGTTGGTAAAGGCGATAGCGACCGTATCACTTTCAGGTCAAAATGTGTCAGCTGGTCTCGACACTGGGGGAGTAAACTCGCGTGGCCCTGTTCGGACGACATCACCGTAACGAGCATGTAGCTTCTGAACATGCAGATGGTACTTCAATTTCGTGCCTGTCATAGACAGCAAACTGTTCCCGTTAGAGTCAGTCAGTCGGTCAGTTCTGGACAACTACTGACTGATATAAGTTCGAAAGGCGCGCAGGAAATGGGCCTGGAAAACGACGAAGTCGATGGAAGTATGCACGATACATCAACATGCTGCCATAAATGCCTGCCAGAAAAGCGGCTCCAACTGCAGAGCTGCGGAAGAAAGCATCGATGATGCCCAGCTCTGCCACATATAGATAGACAGAAAGCAAATCCCAATCCAAAATGTTAAGAGAATAATTCCCAGCCGTAGCTGTCAACCTCGAACGGCTGCATAAGACTCTGGTGACATGCTATCCCCAACAATCCCGCACCGCTCAATGTTACCTGCAGCAGCGACAATGAGGTCTTAGCCAGCGAGTCCATCGCGTAAGGAATGCGAAAGTGAATGAGGTGAGGATGTTACAATGTCATGAGCGCCCTCAACATTTTAGCTGCAGCTACGGCTACACACTGACCTCCGGCGCAGCGGCGACTATTCACGGATATTATTTCGCTTTGCCAGATACTCGGTGTATATTATTCGATACCTATGCTGACAGTTGACCCCAAAAACTCCCCCGGTTTATATTCATGCTCGATATATCACAATCCACTATCGATTGTCAGGAATCGAGCACTGGTTACCTCGCGCTGAAGGACTCGACCTGTAGACCCCATCGTCTCGATCAGGCGACCACGAATGTAATCACCAACCACCGTCTCTCCCCCCCAAACCATCCAGAGCCTTGGCATTGAGCTGCAGATTTCTATTCAGAAAAAAAGCGACGCTATAGCGGTGATTGTGACGGTTGGTCAACACCCGATGGCGAGCGCTGCGGTAAAAACCCTCCCCGTGTACCGCAACATCATGTCTCCCATGTTCACCACGAAGGCGTTCTCAACCACTGGGACGGACACCCAGGATTCAGTGGGTGGATAGTATACTTCTAGACCTGTATTCCCTGGTTCCTGCGAAATAATGGACACACACCCGAAGTCGGTATGGTCGGCCACTATTTGCACGGGGCCGCAGTAAGCATTAAGTGTCATGTTGTTCAAGAGTAAGGAATAGCTTTACCTCCAAACGGACGAGCATCCTCTTCTGCCTGCACGGGTGCGTAGTGTAGAAAGCGCATTGGGATTGAGGGCCTGACGAGTAAATCGTGGAACACCTCTGAACAACCCCATTATGTTGGCAGACCTTGGGCGAGAATGTCGAGAATCGTGGGTGCGGACTAGGCTCACCATTCGGCTCTGGTACGCCATGACTCGGTCGTGAAATGCAGCCCTTGGGAGTCGAGATGGCCACAGACGTCCATGTTGTCGATCTTCAGTGAGAATGTAGCGTGTCCTTCATACACACTCCTATTAGCTACTATTGAGTTATTTCCAACCACTCCGAATCTTAATATCTAATATTACCATCTCTTGAGTCTACGGGGCTGTCTCACCATCATCCAATCCACTGATTTGAGGCAACGTCTGGAAAAAAGGACTCCCAATCAAAATCAGGCCCCAACTCCAAACCCTGGGTGCCGTCGAACTCCATCGCCGCAATAGCCGTCAAATCTGGTGATAACATCGAGCCGCCATGCTCTCTAGTTTGTAGTATAGTGTTGCAAAGCTCCAGACTGTCCCTGGCCGCCCGCGCCACCTCTATCTCTACTGCCTTGCCTGTTTCAACAGCTTCGACCTGGGCAAGAATCATGCGGAGGAACATGTGGTTCTTGACATTCGTTTCACCTTGACGAATCCGATCTTCAGACAAAACAATCAGATCCCGCACCACTTGCTTGAGAAACTCCCGGTACTGGCGAGTCCGCTAGAGCGTACCGTTGAGACGCTGGGTTTCCGCGTGCGCGAGAAGTTCGAGGCTGATCGCCGAGGTAGCACATCGTATCCCCTCTCGGAAAAGCCCTCCACCCGTCGCCATCAGCCGTGCGAAGAGTGAGTCCGGTTCTGGAGAGACAAGCGCGAGTGCCGCATCGAGACTGAGCTTTAGTGAGTAGTGGAAAAGCGGGTTACTGCGCGCCTGGTTGCTGAAGTAGTAATGCAACGGGATCATGAAGCGACGGACGAGATAGTCTAGGAGATTCCGATGAAAAGCTGCGAAGGACTGGTGATTACACCCTTGAAGTGCGTCTGCCAATTCCGAACTGAGGGCTAGTACTTGCTCATAGGAGTGCTCCGAGTGAAGACCACTCAGAAGCTGGACAATCCGAAGACGGATGGGCAGCAATCGGATTAAGGCTAGCTGAATTGAAGTCTCTGTAACTCTTTCTCGCGGTAGGGGTTGAGCCGCCGACTCGTTCAGCTGATTGTCATTGAAATTGGAAGGTGGCTCAGTATCGAACTCATCAAACGAGATTCGTGGAGGCATCCACGAGTCGAGGGATGCCTGAACAACGAACTTGAGAATGGTGTACCACAACCGACGTCGCAATTCGGACTCTAGCACTGACTTCGTCGGGAGATGTCTCGGGTCACGGTGTAGTCCTATCTGCATAGCAGTGTGAACCATAGATCCCATCGAGATCCAGATCGTATCTCCTCCGATTGAAAACAGTTGGCGTGCAAGGATTGTCAAACAAGATATTTGCAACCCTGAAATGTCCAATCTGTCTTTCACGAGGGGCCCGGCAAGCTAGGTCTGAGCTGCATATATCCAATGTTGTACGCGGTCCATATTGTGGAGGGCCGCGGCTCTGTCTCCATGGTCATACAGGCTTGAGCCTATGCCAATGACCAGGAGAACTTTCCGGCGTAAAGTCGGTGTTATGTCTCCCGGTTCATCCCAATACCTGCGGTATTCTGCCCGAAAAGTGGGAATATGAAGTATTCGCTGCCTGCTTGCACCACCCCCTTCAGTAACGATTTCTTATGGGTTGGTCGAGGTCAAGATTGCGGTGATACGTACGCTGATTCAAAGGTGGAGAGATACAGCTCGACCATGGCATCTGCCGTCTCGCGAGCAGGAGGTACCGACGCAAGTCCTGCAGGCAGAAAGCCTCGAGAAGGGCGACCAATCTTAATGCTCCTTGCTTAGTTCTTGCATCTGCGCAAAAAATCCCCCGCCTGGGAGACCAAGATTGAGGCTTCAGAACTGGGAGATGATATTTGCGTGATATATACTGGCTTGCTCATAGTCTCACTATAACACGCAATGATCGCCTTGAACTCATCGGCGGCGCCCATCCAACGACTTCACCCCCTGTCCCTAGATTTGTTGAGGACGCACTGCCACTCCTGTGTCCCTGCAGGGGATGGATGGGAGCGGGAGGACCCTATACCAGAATCTGACGGGGCATGAAGAGTGGGACTATTGGTGAGACGCGTTCCTGTGGAGGCGAGTTCTTCGAGCTTCTGCACACGGTGCACAAGCTCATGCAATGTGGGTCCATCAGTTGAGGAAGAGGCTGACCTAACATGAGCGTCAGGTGCTGGAGGTACTGCAGGCGCTGCAGCTGAGAGACGCAGAAGCTCCGATTTTGAAGAAATGTTGACCAGGAAGCTGAAGGGCTTCCCTGGGAGCGTTGGTTGTTGTTGTTGTTGTTGGAGGCGGAGGGGAAGGTGGTGGTGGTGGACTCGCATTGGTATTAGGTGAAGAGCTAAATGGGGAGCCATGTGATGAGAAGCTATAAGCTGTATAGAGACATGAGGTTCCATGACGCCGACATTGTGCGCATGGAATTTTATGGTCACACTTGATCTTTCGACGACGACATTCCCGGCAGGCCAGGGCGGGTCTGCGGCGTCGACGCGGCTGGGCCGGTTGCTGCTGGCTCTGCATGCGGAGCAGAGACCGAGCGGTGATCTGAGAAGTACAGCAGCATGCCACAGAATGTCACAGCATGGAGCGAAAGAGGCTACAGGAATGAACGGAGTATGTGGAAGAGAGAGAGAGTAAGAAAGAGGAAGGAGATGACGGCAAATTCCCGCTTATCTCCGTCTTCACTGCTTTCCGCTTTCCCCTTTATAAAAAAACTCCGTCTTGCTCGTCGGCCGAGTAACCCTAATTAGAGTCACAAAGATTCAAAGCATGCAAGCCACACAAATTGAGGGTACCAGCTCGGAGGGGGTCAGAAACTGGTGCGAGGGGTCAGAGGTCATAGGCTCCAGTGATGGAGAATCGGATGTTGTCTCGAATGCGCTCGAGATATCAATCTACTATGGGAACATAATGCAGTCCGGACGAGGCGAAGCGTCGCAATAAGTGCGCATTGGGCTGAGTCTGAGGATATTCCATGCACCGGACGTAGACCAAGTGTAGCTCGCGCTTTAGTTGGACCCGGTGGCCTGCCACTGTTTCGGTTTTTTCCCCTTGCAAGATGCCCAGAGCCTCCTTGACCATGTCCATGCTCAGACACTGCGCGATAGATGCTGCTTCAAGAGCATTGTCATCCACCCCTCTGGAGTACAAATTGTCGGTGGCCAGAACTAGCACGCACACCCAGGCGTATCGGCCGTGTGAGCTCGATACTGAGTCCTGAGCGTGGTCTTCGCCTTCAAAAGCCGGTATATGTCTTGAACCACCTTTTCAAAGCTTGACTATCAACAATGGATGTCGGCTCTTTTTTGCGTAATTTAGCAAGTCTAGTGATTCTTGAGAAATTGTGTGCCACGAAAATAGTGAGCACATCAATATTTGAACGAGTCATGTACCCTCCCTGCTAGGACTCCAAGTGGCCTCGTGCTCTCTGTATTACCATTTGTTGCCAATCATCATGCGTTCCATTATCTCATCTATGTTACTAGGCCTTGTGGCTGCATCGCGATCCGTCGCGGCCATCATTCCACGCGACACCTCGACAACATCAAATGCGACAGTCGGGTCTATCCCTTTGCCTGAAGGCCTCCTACCCCACTGGCCAAATGGAACCTGGGTGAAAAACATTGCGGTTCGCCCCAACGGAAATATCCTCTGGACCACTTCCATCCTCAACGGAACAGTGTGGCACGTCAAGCAACCCTGGCTCGATGAGCCCTAGGTTGAGCTCGCCTACAACTTCGATGAGTTGGTTGACCGTCTCATTGGCATTGGCGAGACTACTCCTGACAAATACATTGTGGTTGGCTCGCGTTTCTATTCACCTGAGGCCTATTCCAGCCAGGTCGAGAGGACTTTCGCTGCTATGGAGCTCGATTTCACCCAGGCAGAGCCCTCAGCGCGCTTGATAGCGTGGTCCCCTGAGGCTGCTCTCTTGCAGGGAGTAGGCGTCGCGAACTCAGCGCCTTACCCAAGATGCGGTCCGGTTTGTCAGCTCATGGAGCAAGATTTAGTGCTAAGGGCGAAGACAGGCGCTTATCTGATCGAGGGAAGGAAACCGTGTTCCGAGATAGCTGGGGTAAGCGTCCAGACCCCAGACAGCCTGGTCTTTTAGGGATAATATAAAAAAGGCAGTGGAGAGAAGTACCCTGACATCGGCCGAGAAAATGTAAGGCGGTCTCGATTGCCTATTTGAGCGTCGGCCGAGTGTCGGCCGTTGTTAAGTCCGGCATAGACCGAGAGTATTGCCCTACAAACCACAGCTCTGCAGACTAGCATCTCTTATGATATATGTTCTGGCTGACTATGTCTCAAGAGCTGTGAACTGTTCGAATTCACCGTTCATCATAGCATCTGCTATTACTCCTACTACACACTTGAGCCTCACGAAAACATGACGGCCGCAATTCCTGCCGACAACCCCCCAGAGGAAACAGACCCTCCAGCCAATGATCCCGAATCTCCACTGACCCCATTCAGCAAGAGATTCAATGCGCGTGCATGGGCTACAGGGGTCGCTGAGCTGGCGGCGGAGAGAGGTCAGGACTTCCGTCGCGTCGGTTTGTGCATTCAGGATCTTCATGTCTTTGGCTATAGCACTCCAACAGACTTTCAGAAGACGGTTGCGAATATCTGGCTCGCCTTGCCCGGGTTAATGGCCCGTCGGCTTTGGCCCAGCGCCACTCAAAATCAGGGCAGACACGGGTAGACATCTTACGAGGTTTTGATGGCATTCTAGACCCTGGAGAGATGTGTGTTGTGCTGGGTCCCCCAGGGTCTGGCTGCTCGACCTTTCTTTGAGCCATCTCCGGGGATCGCAATGGCATCCATATCAACCAGGGATCGTATTTCAATTATCACGGAGTCTCGGATCGTTAGATGCACACAGCTCACAGAGGAGATGCAATCTATCCCGCTGAGGTTGATGTTCATTTTCCTATGCTGACCGTGGGGTATACCCTCACCTTTGCCGCATCTGCACGCTGTCAGAGGGAGCTCTCGGACGGCGTCACTCGAAAACAGTAAGTCATCTATGCTCTAAACCTGACTCCGCCGATTGAATTGACCACTGACCAATCTTTACTTATATAGATACTGCGAGCATCTGCGTGATGTCGTTATGACCATGTACGGTATCAGTCACACCATTCACACCAAGATTGGGGACGAATTCGTGCGGGGAGTTTCTGGAGCGAACGCAAACGTGTAAGCATTGCCGAGGCTACCCTAGCCAATGCACCTTTCCAGTGTTGGGACAAGTGAGTAGCAGACCACAGTTTGGAGCTTTTGAAACTGATGGTGAACAATCCTCAGTTCAACACGCGGTCTCGACGCTGCCTACGCCATCGAGTTCTGCAAAACGCTGCGGCTGCAGTCGGAGTTATTCGGTCAGACCTGCGCAGTGTCAATGTATCAAGCACCGCAAAGCGCATACGATCTCTTCGATAAAGCTCTAGTCCTCTACGAGGGGCGACAGATTTACTTTGGCCCCGCTCACCGGGCTAAGCAGTACTCCGTCGATCTTGGATTCGAGTGTCCGGCTCGTCAGACAACCCCAGATTTCCTCACCTCCATGGCTTTCCCTGCAGAGCGCGTCGTTCGTGCGAGATGCAACCCACCTCGTACGGCGGCCGACTTTGCAGCTGCCTGGATGAGGAGTGAGGAATATAAAGCACTCCAGCAGAGCATTGAGCTCTACAAAGCCCAGCACCCAATCGACGGTCCTGACTCTGTCGCCTACAGACAGCTGAAGAGAGCTTGTCAAGCCAAGGGACAGCGTCTCAACTCGCCTCATCTCCTCAGCTATTCCCAGCAAGTGAGATTGTGCATGTGGCGAGGGTGGAGACGATTCTGGGCCGACCCTGGTCCCTCTGTGTGGGTTATGATCGGCAACGTGATCATGGCCCTGATCATGTCCTCCCTGTTCTACAATCTCGACCAGACGACGACCTCGTTTTACCAATTCTGGAGGTGATGACTCTCTATGCCCAGCGGCCGATTGTCGAAAAGCAAGCCCGCTATGCTTTCTACCACGCTTCTGCCGAGTCGTATGCTTCGGTCCTGGTCGACTTACCCATGAAAATCACAGGAACAGTGTCGTTCAATCTCGTGTTCTACTTCATGACGAATCTTGATCGGACACCCGGCAACTTCTTCTATTATCTGTTTGTGGTCTTTCTAATTGTTCTCGCCATGTCGGGAGTCTTCCGGTTCATGTAAGTGCAGTGCACTGTCCCATCTGAGATGTTATGCAAAAGCCAAGAACCTATCAGCGGCGCTGTATCTCGTACAGAACAACAAGCAATGGTTCCCGCCTCGATTCTAATGCTTGCCCTGCTCGTCTTCACTGGCTTCGTGGTTCCAATCCGCTACATGCGCTCCTGGTGCCGCCGGATCAATTACCTCAATCCGGTCGCTTATGGGTACGAATCGCTGATGGTCAACGAATATCACGCGCGTAATTTCGCCTGTGCGGCATATATCCCAACCTATACGTCTGCTGGCAGCACGAGTGTAGCCTGTGACGCCGTGGGCGCGGTGCGTGGCCAAGACTACGTGAGCGGGGATGCGTATATCGGCACCGCCTACAGCTATTACCATAGTCACAAGTGGCGCAATGTCGGGATCATCATTGCCATGGTGATCTTCAATCATCTCGTCTACTTTCTAGCGAGTGAGTACGTCACGGCCAAGAAGTCCAAAGGTGCAATTCTTGTCTTCCGTCGCGGATTTGTCCCACGATTCCTGCCCTGGGGTAAAGTCAGACGTCGAGTCGTTGCCCTCAGGCCCAGTGACAGCCCTACTCGAAAAGCCGAGGGGTGACTACAAGCCTACCCAGACGCCGGCCTTTCAGGGCTCCCGAGGTGTATTCCACTGGAGCAATGTGTGCTACGATATCAAGATCAAAGGTAAACCCCGCCGGATTCTGGATCATGTGGATGGGTGGGCGAAGCCAGGCACTTTGACGGCCCTCATGGGGGTATCTGGGGCCGGTAAGACCACTTTGCTGGACTGTCTTGCGGACCGCCGCGCAGGGGTGGGCATCTTGACTGGAGAGATGCTGGTTGATGGAAAGCTGCGAGATAAGAGCTTCCAGCGCAAGACTGGTTATGCGCAGCAGCAAGATTTGCACCTGGAGACGACCACCGTGCGCGAGGTGAGAGACAAGCATCGCCAGATCAACTAGCGCTTAAAGATCAACACTAATTATCGCTATTCCATAGGCCCTTACATTCTCAGCTCTTCTTCGCCAACCGGAGAGTGTGCCAGAAGCGGAGAAGCTAGTTTACGTCGATGAGGTTATTGAGTTGCAGGACATGCAGGATTACGCCGATGTTGGGGTGGGCGTCCCCGGAGAAGACCTGAATGTCGAGCAACGCAAGCATCTAACGATTGGCGTTGAACTGGCTGCGAAGCCCCCATTGCTACTGTTCATTGACGAGCCGACATCCGGGCTGGACTCTCAAACCAGCTGGGCTATTCTCGACCTCCTGACCAAACTGTCCAAGGCGGGTCAATCAATCATCTGTACCATCCACCAGCCTTCAGCTATGTTATTCGAACGTTTTGATCGTCTGTTACTCCTTGCTGAAGGGGGTAAGACGGTGTATTTTGGTGAGTCACCTTCTTAGGGCTAGTTAGCCTCAACGTCAAGCATGACATGCGCTAACACCGCGCAGGTGACATTGGAGCCAACTCTAAAATCCTGGTGGATTACTTCCAGAGAAACGGTGCGAAGCCTTCTCCTCCGAGTGCCAATCCAGGCGAATGGATGCTGGAAGCAATTGGCGCTGCCCCTGGCAGCAAATCAGAGGTCGATTGGCACGAAATCTGGCGCTTCAGCCCCGAATACCGCGATGTTCAGATCGAACTGGCGAGGCTTCGATCCATCACTACATCTGATACCCTGAGCACCAGCAGTGATGACCCGGCCTCTTATAATGAGTTTGCGGTTTCAACATGGCGCCAGTTTGTTCTATTAGCCCAGCGTTCCTTCAAACACACCTGGCGCACTCCGTCCTACATCTACTCCAAGCTTTTACTCTGCACTGCCACAAGCTTGTTCATCGGCCTCGTTTTTCTCAACTCGCCACTCAGCATCCAAGGACTGCAAAACCAAATGTTCGCAATCTTCGAGCTGATGAGCATCGTCGGCCAGCTGGTAGACCAACAATTCCCCCACTTCATCGCACAGCGCTCGCTGTACGAAGCTCGCGAGCGACCAGCTAAGACCTACAGCTGGCGAGTGTTCATGCTGAGCCAGATCCTATGCGAGATCCCCTGGTACACACTTGCTTCGGTATTCATATGGGCACTGTTCTATTTCCCCGTGGGATTCTACCGCAATGCCGACGCCGCCGCCGGCCAGGACACGGAGAGAGGCGCGCTCATGTGGCTCCTCTTCTGGGTATTCCTGCTGTGGGTGTCGACCTTTGCGCACCTGTGCATCTCTTTTGCGGGCTCCGCTGCCGACGGGGGCAATATCGCCAATTTCATGTTCGTCCTGGCCTTCTTCTTCTGCGGTGTGCTGGCGTCGCCAGACCGGATGCCCCGGTTCTGGATCTTCCTCTACCGCGCCTCGCCTCTGTCGTACTATGTTTCCGCCGTCTTGTCGACCGGTCTCGCTAATATCGACGTAACGTGTGCGAGTAACGAGTTCACTGTATTGGATCCGCCGTCTGGCCAAACGTGTGGCGAGTATCTGGCCGAGTATATCTCCCCGGCCGGAGGGTATCTGCTGGACACGAATGCCACGAGCGACTGCCACTATTGCAAGGTCAAGGAGACGAATACATATCTGGCAGCGATCCATTCGAATTACAGTACTCGCTGGCGCAACTTTGGCACCATGTGGGCGTATGTCGCCTTCAACGTGGTGGGCGCGTTGGCTCTGTACTGGCTGGCCCGAGTGCCTAAGGGGGAGAAGGAGCAGAAGTAGAAACAGTAGTGCTCTCAGCATGTTGAGAGGCAATCGTGAGGAGAACCTGTAATATGGGGGGGGATATTGGTCAAAATGGTAGGTAGAATGCGACCGTGGCGAAGGACCCCCGACCCTCCGACGGCTCAGTCGAGTGTCAACAACCCAAAGTACAAATTAGCACCAGCCAATATTATTATTGATAGCAGACAAACTAAGTATCTGTGTATACTTTCGATTCTGATTACTCTTGTTTATCAATTTTTGTGAAATGCTAGATTTATCTGCATGCCGCTAACTTACCACTTAACAGACCGATAAGATAAGAAAAAGGTGAAGGCGATTGATAGCGACCTAATGACGTCCGTCCCCCATTCGGCAACTCCATGAGGAAGGATTGCAAGCTCACTCACTGCACCTGGCAGACATCCAGACACATAGCATCCACCGCCCTCATGGCGCAATTTCAACCACTTCCCTATCGACAAACGCATCAGATTCCAGAATCCCTCGGCATACCGGATCAGGCAATCAAGCGTGTGGACCGAACGCTGACCATCTCCCCACTCCTCTGGTGCGAAGAGCAATCGAGGGGGGGCCCAGAATGAGAGAATGGGCGGATCCTCCCTGCAGCAGGATGGGAGAGGACAACGGGGTTGGGCAAATACATCAAAAACATCCTTCAGCTTTTCTTCTTCCCCGCTCATCAATTGGAAGGTTGACGCCACAGGGCCCAGCTCATTGACGTATGAGTACTTCTCTGCTGATTGTGCAAGTGAGTCGGTTGTGGGCATGTAATGTCAGAGTGACATCATGTAGCATGCTCCCATGTATTGCACCGGTTGACGACATGCGATCTCATGCTATCCTATATAGCCTGCTCAGTTGCATTCGAAGGACAGGAGCAGAACCATAAACAGACGAACATAATCAAAGCCATCAAACCATCCGCATCACATCAACAACTCACCCAAAACCACCCTTTTCACAAAACACTTGATCTCTTCATCATGGATCTCCAAGGACAGCCCATCCCCCCTGGCCAGCGCAGCACCAAGGTAAGTTCCTGTTCCCTGGGGACACCTCGCTCATTCAATCCCTGGAAAACGATGTCCTAACGCGGCAGGTATAGGTCACCTCCGACCCCGAACGCTATGAGCAGCCCATCAACGAGCCCTCGGGCCCGGTCACCAACGACTCCCTTGCAGCCGAGTCAGCCACCAAGGGCGGCGCCTACTCCCAGAACCGCGGGGCCCAGCCTATGGGCGTCTCCGGCAAGAACTCCACCGTCACCAACACCGACACCTCGAGCGCCCGCAAGATCGACCCCGACCACCGCGACACCCAAGACAAGTACCCGGAGGCCCTAGGCGGCCAGGGCAACTTCCCTGGCGCCCATCTCCCGGAGTCCGGCTACACTGGCGGCTCGACGGCCGCCAAGCAGGAGCTAGGCCTCAACAAGGGCGAGTACTCTGCTGCTGGGAAGCAGCAGCAGCAGCCGCAGCAGAAGAACACCGATCAGATCCACCCCCACCAGCACCAGCCCAGGCACCCCGTTGGCCAGCAACAGAAGCAAACCGGTGCTCCCGCCAGCGGCAGCGGCTACCAAGGCGGCGTGGCCCCCTCCTACGTCCAGGACGTCCTCCACAACCTGGGCAACACCAAGCCCAAGGGCACCAACCTCAAGGAGGGCGACATCCCCGACGACGCCCCCAACGCCAGCTACACCACTGACATCGGTAGCGAGAACGACCCCGGCCGTCTCGCACAGGGTGGCTTCCAGCTGAGGTCGGCGGAGAGCGGGCCCGCTGGCACCTCGGCCGGCCGCCAGAAAGGTGTCGACAACGAGCAGCCATTCCAGGCTCTGCAGTCCGACCAGCGCGCTTAGGTTATGGAGCATGATGGGATGAAATTTTACGATAAAAGCGAAGCGGGTTTCCTTGATATGAATTTGTATACTTGAGAGCCTCAACAAGTATGAAATTAGGGCTAATATGAGATTTGCGAAGACTGGGTCCGTCGCAATCTCTCAATGAATTGTATTTTTACATTATTGGACGCGAATACGAGACTGTCTAGGATATTGTTTCTTTGAGTCGCTGGTTACTGAGATGCTTATGCCGGTCACTGTCTGTTCGGAAATAGCCTATTCGGGCTTGTAAGACGTCCGAGTGCCTCGCTGGGAAGCCGGAGAAAAGATAATATACTGTGCAAGGTGGGATTGTGGAAGAGAAAGAAGGAGCAAAATTGCCCATCTTCTTAATTAGTTGCGCTAGGATCAAGAGCTCATCTGGGTCGTAGACTCTGACAGATGCTGGCAGACAGAGCATAATGAAAAAATCATCATATTCTTGACTGGAACCACCGCCACAGCCACACTCCATCCCTATCTGTCAAAGCTTACACAATGTTGCATATATGATTGTATCGAAGATGTCATAAAAAGCGGAGTGGTTTGAGTCTGTCTTGGTTGAAGCACTGATTTAGAGCGGCATAGAAAGATCGATCGCGTTTCGAGTGATGCTATCCTACATGACAATTCCAACAAAAGAACATGCCCCCCCTCCCCTCAAGCAGGAGGCAAAAACGAAGCATAAAGCACCCCCTGAACAAGAGCATACACCACCATATAATTCACGACGAGGCTACCCCCCCTCTTATACCAACCACCACCCTCTTCCGTCGCCGACCCTCCCCGAAGCAGCAGACAAGCCACCCAAACATACCAGAGCGGATACCCCGACGCCATGCGCGTGATGATCTGCACATGATGATTGAAGAAGGTGAGCACCGCAATCACGAGCTGCGGCACCGCCAGACTCCGCAGCAGCCGGTCCGTGACGCGAGCTTGCGGCGGCGAGTCCCGCAGCTTCTCGACCGGCCGGCGCGAGGGTAACCCCAACCCTACCAGCGACCCCAATTCTCCGTTCAGAGCCTGCCATCCCGACGCCAGCAGGATGGCCAGCATGGGGCCGGCGAGGCCGAAGAGCGGGATGTTGGAGACTGTCCAATACCTCAGAAATCCATTGTCCCTGTGGTACATAGAGATGAGTAGTGGTCAGCCATTGAGAGGTACCAAACTAGAATTGTGGGTTGGACAAAACGGACCAGTAGTGCTCCTGCACGAAGCTATAAATACTCGGAAGGGTTCTCCGACACCACGCCCTCGGTTCCCGGTCTGTGCAGAACTCCTGGTAGGCGATGTACTGCGGGAGAACGAAGCCCAACCCCGTGCAGACCCCGGCCGTCCCGACAGCGAGTAAGCGTCGCAATTTCGCAAGTGAACAACCTTGCTGCGACAAAAGGACGAGCTGCCGCACCGCCTCCTCGAAGAGCGGGATGCCGTTCAGCAACCCGTTACTGCGGAATGTCGTGGCGAGGCCATACAGCACCCCGGACAGGACGAGCAAGGTGTCTTGACACGAGCTGGAGCTAGCGTCCGAGGAAGAGGCGAAGCTCTTCACAAACAGCAGCGAGCCGCAGAAACTCAACAGGGCATATGCACTCTCCGCACAGGGTGCAGACAGGAAAGCCCCCGCCGGAGACACCACGTGCAAGCAGGCGGCGAGGAGCGCGACCTTGCGGCGGCCCTGCGCGCCGGGGAAAAGGGCGCAGACGAGATGGTAGAGCACGATCACGGACAAGCCATGGGCGGCGTGGGAGATCGAGATGCCCACGAGACTCTCATTGAAGGCATAGTCGAGGAAGCTGAGTTTGCGGCAGCCTAGGGAGCTCGTCAGCCAGGAAGATTTCTGGAAGGATATTGTTGTTATTAGGGGGTTTGGTTCTATAGCCCAGGAAACAAGTACCATTCGCCAAGACATGGATCAGTCGATTGCATCCGTACCCGAAGGCCCATTCTTGCTCGAAGATGTAGCCCCGGTTGGCAGCGTGGGTGAAGTAAATAGCATCCCAGCGGGTCAATTTGGTCGATATCGTTTTCCAAAGGGCTGGCAATGGGGCTTTGGTCGGATCGCTGTTCCATTCAATCAGTGTGGTTGAGGTGTCGTACCCGGGCCCCGGTGTGAAGGCAGCGAGTAGCAATAACAGGCTTTTCCACAGTATGAAGACAGCTAGTAATGATCGATGAGGGCGACTAGCCTGCACCCAAAGCATCGACGCCATAGTCCCTGCTTGGTTCTCAGAATATTGGTGTGATGGGGTTCAAGCAGGTGAAGATGCTCAGGAGCAGATCCGCTGCACGCCAAGCCTTCCCACTCCCGTGATGCTTCCATTGCACGCCCTCAACCTAGAGGAGAAGAGGAATACTCATTAAGCAGCAAACAATACTAACTTACGATGGACCATGAATACGGCTCGCATTGATCGTTAAGAATGAGCAAGTCCGGCGTTGGCCCACGCACTCTGCAAAATGGCAAGGCTGAATGGTGCCCGTGTCCAGACAGGCCTACTGGAATGGACTTGGAACTGCCGCCTCGTAAAAAGAATAATATCTTGTCAGTCAATTGAGTTTAATTTTGAAGACATCCTGCCTTTTTTTCATACACCATTTGCGAACGCCGGATTTGCAACGGACACGTCATAAAAGATCAACCCATATAAGCACGTCCCAAAGGCCAGACCCCAAAGACATGCACTGCCTTGTCAGACATCAAAGTGGAACTGTACAGCCATCGCAAGTTGACAAGACAAAATAAAAGAAGCCATATAGATTAAGGAAATAACGGAAAACAAATCACACCCGATGAACCTTTACAGGTTCACCCGCTTCAGCTCCTTCTGAGCCAATTTGGCCAACTCCTCATACACCTCGGTGAAGTCCTCACCTTCGTCCTCACCCTTCTTGCCCTTGGAGGCCGACTTGGGCACGACCATGACGACACTGGTGGGACGTTTCGTGGCGGCCGAGTTACCGAGCTCAGCTCGGGATGTGACGAAGACATATGGGATACCGTGGTCCTCGCACAGGACGGGGATGTGAGAGATGACGTCCATGGGCGAGATGTCGGCGGCAAGGATGACAACGGCGTTGGGGACGGCGATGGTAGCGTTGGCGGCGGGGATGGGAGATTTGCGGAGGGCCTTGACGACTTCCTTGACACCACGCTTCAAGCACTTGTTGACAGCAGCTGTTCAAAGCATTTCAGTTAGTATATGGTAAGGCAGGACAGGTCGCGCTCATCAGTCGAAATCTGCATTGATTCTCGGGCTCATCTATGTCCACAAGACCAGAGGCCCAGGACTCAATGCATGGTAGAAAGTCTGTGTTGACATGAGGCAGATGCTCTTACCTTTCTTGACGCTCTTCAGAACCTTCTTGGCCTGCTTGTCCTCAACCAGAGGCTGGGCGAAAGGAACGAGTGCGCCGACGGGGTTGCTGTCGACATCCATGACCTCAGCCTCAACAACACCAGTGACGGTGGCATCAGCAGGGACAGCCTGCTCAATGCCCTCCAGAACCTTGGTGGTGAGCTCCTTCTCGACGGCGTCGGCAAGAGCGGTCTTGTCCTTCTTCTCCTTCTTGTCCTTCTTGCTCTTGGAGATTCCGTCCTTCTCCGCGCGCTTCTCCTTTCTCTCGCGCTTGTCCTTCTTGTCGCTCTTGTCCTTGGCCATTGTGAATATTAGACCCCGCTTCGAGGATTTGATGCTGAGTCCGGAAAGAGGGGTTGGGCGAGGGCGAGAGAGAGGGCGATGGGCGTGGGGGGAGAAATAGTCGTCCGGTCTTTTGCTGAAACCCGCAAAAATTCGAAATCCATTCAAAATTTCGGCGCTAGTCCTATTCTAAAGTGGGAGCTTTCGCGGGCGGTGAGTGGCTGAGTCAGCACTGGGTGGCCGTGGTGCAGGTGCGGATGTTCATCGCCGCGCATGCAACCCCAAACAAATGAAGTAATAGTGGATGAGCTTGTGAGTGATGCTTGCTTGTACTTCCCGTCGCCAGACTGGAGGTCAAGCCTATGCATATCTGTGATCTCTAGCATTAATTGTGCTGTGTTGCTGTCAAAGGTGAACCGTCCAGTTAGGTTCGCTTGGCTCGCTTCTATCCTTCAGTGTACGTCCAACCCTTCGTCGCATGACATAATAAGAGATTTCGAAGGATCCAAATAACGGAAGATCTCTACAGATGGATTCTAGACGAAACTCGCGTGCAGCATGGGGTTCTCCCCCGCCCGAATCCCCTTTGGCTCTCCCTCCAGCTCCGATTGCCTTCCAACTATCGAGTCGTCTGGCAGAACCAGCTCACCCTTCGAAACCAGGTGAGACCTACCCCCCCCCCCCCCCCCTCCTACTATAGCGCGGAGCCCTGACCTGTCGTCCTCCAAAGATACCGAAAAGGAAGAGCTGCGCGTCCAGGTAAACACATTGAAGTATGAACTGGAGAACTTCAAGCAAGAGCGAGACTTGATGGTATTGCGCCATGAGAAAGAGCTGCGGGAATTGCAATTGAAGGCAGATGCGGATTTCCGCAAGGCCCAGGTACGCTCACCCCTTTAAGTTGACGGACGTGTTCTTCATGGCTAATGGGGGATCGTGCTTAGGTAGCAGAATCGTCCAGTCACCGTGCCAGCCACAAGAGCGAGACCCTTGCGAAAGAATTAAAAGAGGCCCAGGACACCGCACTCAATGAGAAAGCGGAGCTGGAGCGAAGACTCCGGACCCTTCAAGACCAAAACCAGTCCCTGCAGGAAGATGTCGACGATACCAAAGCGCAACTGCTCGACCAGGAGCGACAGTCCAAATATCAGGTCAGCGAGTTGGAAACAATCCGATCATCGCTTCAAAAAACACTCGAGGAGCTGCAGAACGACCTGCAGACTGTACGAAGTGATATGAATACCACGCAAGCAAAGTTACAGGAACGAGAAACGGAAGTTGCACACCTGGAATCGGAAAATCTCCGCCTGAAGGCCGAGGGCAGCGACACCGAGGCACTGTCTGTTCTCAAGCGGGAGCTGTCGGATCAAGTCAATCACATCAGAAACTTGGAGACTGCAAATCGTGAACAGACGATCGAGCTACGTCACCTGCGCAAGGTGCAGAAGAATGTGGAGGTGGTAGAGGAGCAGAAGCGATCGTTAGAAAATCAGCTACAACTCATGAAGGGCGTGGAGTCTGAGCTAGGGACCGCTCAGATCCAGATGCAGATACTCGAAGATGAGCGACGGTCCTGGACCAGCCTCCTACAGGATAACGACCAGCCGGCGGAGCTTGACTCTCCGGAATCGGTTGTCAAAGCTTTGCTACAGGAACGGATCGAGAAAGCTACCCTTGTTGACAAACTGGGCAGCGTCGAGGCCGAAGCACTGGAGAAGGAGGAACAGATCCGAAGCCTGGAAGCCGAAAAGATGACCCTGCGGAAAGAACTCGAGACTGTTCGCGCTACCGCCTCTGCAGCCGGCGGAGCCACCGCAGACAGCCGTGCTAAGGCCCGCCTTGAGAGGCAGCGCACCCTCGCCATCAAAGAGGTCGAGTATCTCCGGGCCCAGCTGAAGACATTTGACACCGAAGAGGAGACCATGAATGCCGAACAGAGCCAGTTCGACCAGCAGAAATCCGAGCAGATAGCCACATTGGAGAAGCTTGTCGACGAGTACAGAGCCGAACTGGCCAAGGTTCACGAGGAGCTTTCCCAGCGTGAGTCGGCGGCAACAACAGCCCCCCAGACATCAAAGTCGTCCCCGTCAGCACCCTCGAGAGCATGAAGCTCGACATCCAGGACATGGAGCGGGCCGTCGCCGACAAGGAGAAGCGCATGCGCCGCCTGAAGGAGATCTGGACCGCCAAGTCCTCCGAGTTCCGCGAGGCGGTCGCCTCCCTCCTCGGCTTCAAGCTGGACTTCCTCCCCAACGGCCGCGTGCGCGTGACCTCCATGTTCCATCTTTCCGCGGCGTACCGGCACGGGGACCGGGATAGTGGCTCGTCATCGGACGCGCAGGGACCCGGCAGCATGGGCAACGGCGAGGAGAACTCGATCATCTTCGACGGCGAGAATGGGACCATGAAGATCTCCGGGGGTCCCAACAGCCTCTTCGCGATGGAGATCCGTCCCCTGGTCAAATTCTGGGTCGAAGAGCGCAAGGATATCCCCTGCTTCCTGGCGGCCATGACCCTGGATTTCTACGATAAAACGACCAGGGCGGCGCGCATGTAGATTTCAAATACCTTTGCAGCAGTAGTCGTACACACTCTTCGGCGCCCATCTCTTCCTCTGTTTGATTAGCTCGATAGCCCAAATGATTCCCCCGGCACAGGCATCACTGGTGCCATGTTTGTTATACCGTCGCAACTTCTCATAGTCCGTGGTCGTGTCTATCACAAATAGAAGTATCGAATAGACAGCCTGCAATCTCTGTACACTAGTGCAGGTCAAACGCACACCTTGTCCAGTAAAGTCACGAGGAACTAGCTCGTGGGTTTTAAGGTCTCAAGTCGTTATGGGTAGAACGAGGGCGTTCATGGAAGAAGTATTACACCAAAAAGAAAGAGCACGATGTAGAACTTGAGCATCGAGCACTTACAAGGCATTAGACATTTCCACTTATTCTGACAAAGGAACAGAAGGAAGGATAAATTTTTTACACCACCACGAATCCGGGAGGAGGAGGAAACGAAGCTTATAAAGGAAAGGAAATGTTGAGGGAATAATAACATGGCAGATAGAGAGGACATCGACATAGTGAAGAGATATAAGGAAGGGAAATTAGAAAACTTGCGCTGTGTGGTTGGTGTGGTAACTGTACAGGTACAGGCGCGGGGATAAACACAGTAGTACGAGCCACATTTTTACCCAACCATGTACATACAGTCCTGCAACGGCATGGAATTATATTCCAATAGCTTTGCGCAATAACCGCGAGATGCAGTGCTGGGCATCCTATGCGCCAGTTCGGAGACACTTCGGGGGGGTTTGGCTCCTTGTACATATGTACGTACTGAAGACTCGCAGACCGCGGGGTCGTCACGGACGCAAACTTCAAGATGAGACATACTTAGCTGCGACCAGTTTGCGCAGAGTTGGGACTCTGTTCCATTCCGAAGACGAACCCGCATCCGCAGTCGGCGTTCCTGTATCCTCGTCCGCAAAAGGATCAGTGCTCTGCTGTACGCTTTGCTCGGGTGAAGAAGCTGTGCTGATTCCTAGTTGGGCACCATCTTCGATCCTGTGCACCTCGAATCTCGCATCCACTTTACCCTTTCGCGGCCCACTGGTTCCGGTCGAGAACCGAACGAGAAACTTGCCATCAGATCCTGCTGTGACATCTAGTTCAGGAAGCCTCCAAGTCACCGCCGATTGCTTGCGTCGGAACGTGGCTCCCGTGTTGGGGTACATGACGGCAGCGGTGGCATGGGCCACCTCCCGGTCTTCAAGAGGAGATGTGTCAAGGTTGACCGTCAATAATAGATTTTTGACGTTGATCGAACTTCCCTTTGGGAATGAAGGGTTGGCGGAGTAAAAAATGATTACACTGGCCTGCATATTTTCGATGTTCCAGACTGGTTTGAAGATGACTGGGCAATAGCTCGAAGCATTCGCTGGATCAAAGTGAATCTGGTACTTGAAAGCCACGGTCGGCGAGGGGCGTGTGATGCCACTTAGGTTGATTTTGTACTGGCCTCTTTGCTCATCCGATAGCTCCTTGTTCTTCTCTTCGCTCACAAAGTGTGGGTTAGCGGCTACCTTTTCCAATATTTGGAAGTTGTCAAGTCGAACTCGAGCAGTTTCTGCCGGCGTGTCGGGAATAGGGTTGTAGGCAAGAGCAAGTTCGCCAATAACGTGGGTCTTTGTTATGGCTCCTTCAGAGAACCATGCACTGACGGTATCTATTATCGAAGCATTGAGACCAGGTCCGTGAAGCTCTGGGTGGGCGACAATGCCCGATACGCTGTGCAATGTATGCCCCGAGCGAATCGACGTGGTGTCAGAGAGCGTATGGTCATCTGTAGCGGCAGTGGGTGAATGGACATGCCTCGAAGGCGCTGAGGGAGAAAGTGGCACAGGAGGATCAGATGCTGAGGGCGAGACAGGGTTCTCGCTTCCGGGGACGGGATTAGGAATGAAAACCGTGTTGCGGACGTCACGCCGGCCGCGCAGAGTACCTGCATTGCGCCTCGTTCCCGATTGTTGAGCTCGCTATGCAGGGTATTAGCACCTCTTCAAGTGCGCGGGATTTATGTGTCTCGAACTCACAAGTCTCAGTTGATTGGCCATATCATCCATTGCCTGCTTAGCCTGATCTTCATCCTCGAAGATCGGCTGGTCTCGGATGGTCAGATTTATGCCACTTTCTTCCAAACTGCGATGATATTAGCCTGCAATGAACCTTTGATCGGCATGGCGCAGATAACATACCCAGCCGCTTCTCTTTGAGCTCGTGTAATCTCGTCGATGGTATCGGGCCGCTCAGAGAAACCCTCTGAGTCTACTCGTGGCTGGACAGGGTATCAGTAAGGATCATTTTGAGTATTTCCAGGTGCGACTTACTTCATTCGGTACGGTAGAACTCGCCTCGTTAGGGGTCTCATGAGGGGCTTCCCCATTAGCCACGGCAGGTGCTGGTTGAGAGACTGGACCAGATGCTGATCTATTAAGGTCTTCTTCGTGTTCGGGAAATTCGCCTGGGATATTCAAGGATCCAGAATGACCCTCTTGAGTACTCAAGGCAGTGCCGGGACGATCAGAGCCTTCTGGAGGAGTCTCCGGAATCTGCAGATCGCGCGAATCCCCTCTCTTGAAAGAAGCAAATGGGCTTCGGTGTTTCTTGTCTGAAAAAAACGGACCGCCGCCGGATGGCTGTACAATACTCCGACGACGATTCATCACCGTTCCTAGTCGTTTCAATCCCCCGAGAGGAGTGCTGTGACGAGGCTCAGGAACTAGGGTTGACCGATTAGTTCATCATGCCTAGAGACATCAGGCTCCCTCGCAACCGAGACTGAAATACTTACCGGGAGGCGCTCTGGCTGGTCCCGACGTTTCCGAGCGCTGGCTGGCAGCATCATCCTGAAGGTGCGGCGGAGGAGAGAGCGGGGCTACCGGAGGAGGGGAGGCGGCCTGCTGTCTCCGTGGAGCAACTGGTCGTCCGCCATTGACCTTTGCCGCGAATGTTTTGATTTCGTCTGCTGTTTCGACGTTGAGGAGAACATTCAGACAGCTCTCAGCCGCCTGACGGCTGCGTTCCACCTGATCGGACTCATGGGTCTCCAATTGAGTCAAGACGTCCCTTAAATGATTGAGGCGACTTTCATCCGCCGCCTGCAGCTGTTCAAAGACAAACGGGGCCCTGGATTCCCATTGCTGAATGATCTCCTCGGCAGCAGCCACAGCACTGGCTAGTTTGTCGGCGCCCTTGGGGCCCTTCTCCCTGGCCTTCTCAACCTTCTTCTGCGCCGTCTCGTAATTCTTCGCCAATGCTGCGAGATCACTCTGGATTCCAGGCATCGATGATAGTTCACGGCTCTTGCTGTTGTATTCCCGCAGAGGTCGTTCAACATCCTCATCGATCTTTTGCGCGAAGGTTTCGTGGGAAAGCGCTATGGATTCAGTAGCACTGACGATGCGTTGCCATGGGATCTGAAATACGCTGCAGTGCGATGTACATGTTAGCTTCATAAGCCTGAAACGTGCCCGGGTGGCCAGCATTACCCTAGTGCAGCTCCATTGTCTAACTGTGGGCGATGCGCAAGCTTCCTTAGGCCTTGAGCATATACTTCTTCAATGCGTCGACGTTCCTACAATTGACATCCCTAGGCGTTAGACCGGTATGTTCTAAGAAGGAAGAGGGTTCAAGAGGTAGGAGAATCCTTACCTGGAGCCAGTCCGCAATGTCCGCATTGATTTTGTTTATGGTGCGAATGCGCTCGTTAAGCACATTGGTCGCCTGGCTGGGCTGCAAAGAGGCCTGTATGCAGAACAATGAAACCGAGTATCAGCTGTTTGTGCGATAGCATTGATTGTGGTCTAAATTTGATAAGGTGGGGGCTGGTTGGGGCATAGTGTTGCAATGGAATTGATCGTACCAGCAGCGCCGGATACTCCTGCCGAGAGAGATCCATTACTTCTCATAGATCACAGCTGCGAGGATACAAAATTCGGAGGCGCATAATAAGAGGTCAACTCGAGAGGAATTAATGAGCATCAACACGGTGAATGTTTGGAAGCGACGGAGGGAAGGGAAGCCGGAGGAGCCGACAGGCGCGTTAAGGCACAAATGCTGGCGGTGGAGTGAGGGAGGGAAGAGGAGGAGGAGACGGACCGGGGGGGGGGAACGAGGATGAATGGTGATGACGATGACGGACGGACTGCAACGCCCGACGAAGGCCAGGCGGAGGAGCCGAACTGGCCGAGTCCGCAACAGGCAACACACTAAACCACTTCAAACCAAGTGTAGCTGTCACATGTTCCCCGCGACCGCCTGACCGCCTGACCGCCTGAACGCTCGATAGTTACCGTACGGCTCTTACCGTCGACTCAAGGTTCATTCAGCCGAACATTTGGTCTGGAACGATCCTCTTCAACAGCCTTTGTGATTTGTATTGGAAACTCATTCGAGACGAGCTCAGCTTCATTCGCATAGAAGTCTGTTTCTTACTGGCACTTTTGTTTCTGGTTCCCTCAATCTTCGGAGACGGTGGTTCAGACAGCAATGGAGTGGAAGAGAAATTTAGGCTTCTCCGAACGATTGACGGCTATTCAATCACTGTATGCCTTCAACTGCTCTTCCCCAGACTCGTGCTTACTTAATATAGTACAACTGCCTTCCAGCGAGCTTCATCCTCCGCTGCATTCACGGAGGCCCAAGCCCAGGCGAGGAAATGTGAAAACGAAGCTTATGATCAAGCTTCGTCGCGTGTCAGTTCTCTCCTGCTATGGTCATTGCTTCCGTTTCTCATTGTGAAGTGCGTAGGAAGAATATGAAAGGCTTTGCCAACAAGCGATTGACGCAGCAGAGGCCATCGACTCGGTAGCCCTTATCGATGACTGTCAAGATCAGCTTCAAGAGGAGCCAGACAAGTCTGATCCAGGTCATGGCGAGGTGATTGGTCCATACCAGTCGTGCTTCCATCATTTTGATGGCCTTCACTCGACTGTCTACAGATCGCGGCGAGCGGACAACACCGTCGTCGCGCTCAAAGTACTTATCCCACACATGCTGGCGCCTCCACACCACGCCACACGTGAGATTCAGCTGCTGCGTGATGCAGCCCATACCCATGTGATTCCATTACTCGACACACTCAAGCTAGACGGAGGACGCCTGGCCTTGGTCTTCCCCTTCATGAAGCATGATTTCGAGCAATTGCTCCGCCGGGGCGCATTGACGGCGACACAGACAAGATCTCACTTGAAAGACATGTTTCGTGCCTTGGCACATATACATCAACTGGGGATCATACATCGCGATATCAAACCATCCAACATCCTCATGGACTCTCCCGATGGGCCCGCTTACCTGGCAGATTTTGGCATCGGATGGAAGGAGGGAACTAGAGACTCGGAACCAGCCGATGAGAAGATCACAGATGTAGGGACCACCTGCTACCGGTCACCGGAGATTCTTTTCGGTTTCAAGGGCTACGGAAACAGCCTTGATCTTTGGGCGGCTGGCTGTGTCGTGGCCGAGGCCTTGTCCGTGGGACATCCTCAACTGTTCGACTCGGGACCAGTTGGTAGTGATCTCTCCCTTATTCAGTCAATCTTCCTTACATTGGGCACTCCGGACGAGAACACTTGGCCGGTATGTCTTCAAACCCATCCTCTTCCATATTTCATTCCGCCTCTCACAGCATAACGAGCTGACGTCGACAATAGGAAACAAAGTCTCTTCCTGATTGGGGAAAGATAGAGTTCAAGAGATATCCCGCCAAACAGTGGGGCGAAATCCTCAAAGGAGCCTCGTCCAAGGGGCGTGACTTGGTCAGCAAACTTGTCCGATATGAAAGCTGCGAGCGACTCTCTGCTGAAGAGGTACGTCTTCCAGGACATCAAATTGTCCGTCTGTTACTAACGAGTATAGGCGCTAAACCACCCCTACTTCTCAAATTCCTGATTATTTGTCTATTTAGTCAAACATCACCTGCACACTTGACCTTGGTCCGCAAGATGTAGGTATATGTTGCTTAGTCGACCTCTGCCTGTTAGCCAGTTCTCACGACTGTCAATCGTCATGTGATCGATAATTGCAGAGCAACAGGATCCTGACCCACCTCGGCAATTCATCTACAATGGATGCAATCCGGCCAGTTGGCAAAACTGTGGCACAGGCCTGTGTCTCTGAGAACGATGCCAGGCACTAAGTGGCTGGCGCAACCTACAGGCAGCCCCGGTTTCTAGTCAGTTTCAGGGCAGCCACCGGCTACCGATGCCTCTTGCTGATTCGTTAAAGAATAGTGGTAAAATCATGACTAAACTACAAATGGGGGACTTTATGGGCTGATTTGGCGATGAACTGGCGTCTTCCCACGGCACGGGAGGTTCACCTTTCGAGGGAACAGCTTGCAATCACAAAGGAGGTAAAAGGCTGATCGGCAAGGATCGCTGCTTTGGCTTACTTAACAATTATCATAATCCGCTCTGCAAGCGTAAGGGAGGACCGTAGGAGAGAAAGGTTTGCCGAGTGTGGGATTTGTCTGTTTTTTTACTTTTCTCTTCCCTATTTTCCCAATTTTCCCTCCGTGCGGATGGTTCCATGCATGCAAACTGCAAATGCATAACTCTTGATGAGGTTGCCAAGACCACAAACGACCAACGTTTGTTGACTCTTGCCCTGCACTGTAGCCGTTTGGTGGAATCAGTCGGATCCCACAGCCGCAGAACTACCCAATGCTGGAAGGGTGAGTGGAGGTCGCAACGAGTAGTAGTACGGAGGACCCGGAGAACGGAGTGACTCGGCTCAACATCTCAAGAATTGGTGCTGTTAGACTACTCCTGAACACTGGAAGGCTGAGTAATCTCTTGCATGCATGCATGAAAACTCTTTTCTCGTCACCTTACCATGGTATTTAATTAATTCTCCGAGCTATTTCTGAATGTGTATCACTCGGTAGAAGTCAGAAACCTGAATGGGTCGGTCGACCGTAGCACAGCGGTTTCCGTTCATGCACTGCGTTGGTCGTCGAGTGGGGCGAGCATACAGGGGAGAAGGGGAGAGTAGCACATTGGTTTGAATTATGGACTCCCGAAGATGAGATCAATTGGCAACATATTGGAACCGCAGTTCAGAGCTAGTTCTCTAGTATCATGCATCATAGTTCAATACAGAATGATGACTGGTGCCTTACTACAATGTACCTGGCTAAAATGCAATGATGACACTACTCTTCATTTCGATATGATAATACATAAGATTAATCTCAAAAGAAAAAAAAAAGGTAGGTCATGGCGGGTGAAGGGGCGGCCTCAATGCTCGTGCCGGGGGGCAGGGAGGGGGGTTACCGTCACAAAACCAGGGACGGTAATCTGCTCTAACCAATGAGACACTAGATGTGCCTGAGTGCAGCGGGGATCCCGCATCGAATTGCACCATGAAAGGTTAGTTGAAAGTTAAGCAGTACTGGGCGATACACGGGCTGACTGGGCCATCATCCCCCACTCAATTTATACTTTGGCCTTCATTTCGGTTCTTTGGTTTGTCCCGCCGCTCGTGCTGCGCCGATTGTAATTAGATTAGCCTCGTATCCCCTCAAACCCGTGGTTGCCAATGCCCTCGGACTCTTTCTCTCTTTCCTCTTCTTCTGTTCGATTTCATACCTTCAGTCCTCTTTAGTCTCTCCTTTCTTCTTCTTCTTTTCACCTTCCCCCTGTACACCCTGCGGCCTGGAAGCTGTTTGTCCTTCGTTTTGTCCATTTTGACCGGGTGTGGCCCAGCCCGCCCCGAGTATACTGTACATCGGCTGTTTCTCAGCCTTCCATTCCTTCCAACCCACACATTCCTGAACGCGCTTTGTCTTCCTTCTCTGCATTCCGTGGCTGGATCGCAGTGATCTGGCTGACGAACTGAAGAAGCAATTCGCGAGTCTTTTTGGTCTGGCACCTGTTTTCGGGCTAGCACCCTTTCACTCTTTTCTCTTGGTTCGACGTTGATTAAACCCCGCCATCTTTGCATAGTACGATATTTCCAGCAAGTCGCGACAGTCATTATCATTACAACACTACACACACCCAAGCCAACAACACCTTCCATCATGGTGCATGCGCATGCGCATGCGCATCGTGACCATGTCGCCAATCTCCAGGCGCGAAGCCCCGACAACGATGTCACTGTGGTCTATGTCACTCTATCTGCAGACTTCGATGGGCCTATTGGAGGGTATGTGACCATGTCACAAACTTCCTCGGACAAAAGCAATAAGGCAACCGCCGGTCTAGGTGCCCCGATTCAGCAGACCCGGTCATCTTCGAAGGAGGAAACAACCACGATCCAGACAAGCGAGAAGACAAAGGTCGAAGCCACAGCAACCGCCACGAAGGACTCTAATCGCCAATCCACTACCACACAGAAGGCGAAGCAGACTACTCACGCATCGGAGACAGCTACTACTGAACAGGATCACACGTCGACGGCCCAAACTACATTTCAAACCAGCTCCTCTTCCTCGACTTCGGCTATCACTGGATTAGAGGATGCTGCCGTCGCTGCGTCGTCCACAAGTGTTCCAGCAGCATCGGCCTCTCCCACGGCTATCCCTGCTTCGCAAGGTCTTACTGGTGGGGCGAAGGCAGGAATCGCTATTGGCGTGATAGTAGCAGTCGGCGCAATTGCAGTCTTCATCCTCCTCTGGCTCCGCAAGAAAAAACAAGGCCAACACCTTCAGGAAATCGAACCTGAGAATGAGAAGTACGTGCGCCAGGATGATATCGCACCCCCTCCCCCTCCGAAGCCGGAATCTGTGACCTCGCCCAGTCCGCCTCAACTCAACATTCGCCCTGTGACCCAATTTGCACCTTTCGCATCGGATTTCGCATCGAACGGTGGTGCGGCTGGACTTGCTGTGGGTGGCAGTCTGGCACCCGTTGCTGAATCTGCTGTTGTCAGTCGCTCCCTCACGGATCATCCTTCGCCGCCCCAAACGCCAAAGTCAAGCTCTCATGGTTCAGATCCATTTGGCGACCCTGTCAACCCCTTCAGCAATGGTGCGGAAGCCCCATCTCCTCTCGCCTCAAGCACTGCACTTAGCATCGCATCTGCACCTGTCCCACATGCTATCGAGGAGACCGCTTCTACTCCAGAAGAGACAGCTCCTACTGCAGAGACCGAGCAGATTTCACCAGTGGTGAGTGCCGCTGAGTCTGAGCCGGTTGCTGAAGACGCCATTGTTACTGGGGTTGCGGCCGCAGCTGCTGTCGTTGGCGTTGCAGCTGTAGCCACTTCTGCGTCGAAGACACAAGAGAAGCAACTGCCCGTGGCTCCCGAAAGCTCCGGAACAGGTCCCCAGGCTATTCTCCAAGAGGCTGTCCTAGATGATACTCCCACCGCTACCACTCCAAGCACACCAGTCGCCGCTCCTGTTGCCGCTTTGGTCGCCGCTCCTGGACCACGCCCTCCGCCTTCCGGGCCTGCTCCCCCTCCACCAGGAAACGTGCATCGCGTGCAAATGGACTTCAACCCTTCAATGGAGGATGAGTTAGAACTTCATTTCGGTCAGCTTGTCAGACTCTTGCACGAGTATGACGACGGGTGGGCTCTGTGCACTAGACTTGATCGATCGCAACAGGGTGTTGTCCCTCGATCTTGTCTATCTTCGCGGCCTCTCAAGCCCAGACCCCCTCCAGGTCCTGGCGCTCGTGGCCCGCCGATGGCAGCACCCAATCGTCCTATGCCCCCTAGGCCCACCACGCCATCGTCCAACTTCAATCCCCCGGTCTCTCGGCCACAGTCGCCTGCTCGTCCGATGTCGCCTGGCCAACCCAGCTACGCCGGTCCCGGTCCTATGCCACTGCGTCTTCCCAACCAGCGTCCTATGTCCCCTGCTCAGGGTCCACCTGCTCCCAGGTCATTCTCACCGGGGCCGGGCCCTAGACCGATGGCACCCAGATCAATGAGCCCTGGACCTTACGGTCTCCCAGGGATGCAGAAGCCTTACATGCCAGCAAGCCAGCGGCCCCGAAGCAACAGTACGGGTGCTGCTATGGGGCCCAACCCTCGCCAAGGCGGGTTTCCGGGTCCGAGTCCCTTGGGAGGTCCGATGATGCCACCAGTGTCCACCATTCCCAGGGCAACACCGACCGTTGTCGAAAGCCCGATCTCAGAGACTGGCAACCGGGAGTGGTGATTGCCTTGCTTAACTCGACCTGAACAAACGGAGTCACAGCTTGGTTGACATCTGCGATACGAGCATATTACACGCCACTATGCTGGAAGCATGGACATTGCTTAAGCTGCAGTACACACCCCTTTTACCTTTTCACCTTGTCACTTATTTTCCATTCTTGAACCCCCACTTTCTTTTACCTTTCTCCTGAACAGATATGTCATCATGATTTCTTCCCCAAGTACGCTTCTATGGAGATGATACAAGATACCCACCCCACTCCCCCGGTTGCCGTCCACACTCACAAAGACTACTGCGTACTCTTTTTTTTTCTTTCCAGAAAGGACATGGGAATCTGGAGTGATACGATGTGTGAAATGCGTGATACGATATGTCTGGATACCATTCGGAATTCGAACCCGGGCTTTCCAAAGCTTCACGGTTCTAATTCTTTCTTCAATCCCCTTGCTTATTTTTCTTCTCGCTATGCTATTTCAATATACCATTTGCTTTTCGATTCAGCCTCTTTAACCCGTACAATCCTTTTCTATCTATCTTTGACTCTTGCAGATATTTCGATTCGAATTTATCTAACTCTCCGCTATTGCCTTAGTTTGATGTCTGCTCTGCTCTGCACAAATAATCAACTTCCTTTTGGGGGGTATTGCCGTGCGTGCTGCATGAAACAAGACGGGGTAGAGGCACCACGACGAGCAAAATACGGAAGAAAAGGTACAATCTTATCACACTACTTTTTTCTCCGAAGACAGTGTCCTCCTGTACGTGAATGTTTAGTGTG